ATGTTTATTTTTTTGAGAAAAAATACAAAAAAGATTTTTAATATTAGATAAAACACATGTATAAACATATTGAGAGTGAGAAATAATAGCAGTTGGTATAAGATTGGTATTAAATAAAGAAAAAAATATAGTGGAATTAGGATGTTGAGTTAAAAGTTATTTAACAATAGAAGATGCAAATAAAATATCACTAATTTTTTCAAAACATTTAGTAGAGATAATTGGAAAGATTTGCATATTAGAGGGACCAAGAATAGTAGGTTGAGTAATTTTGTTATAGTAATAGATAAAATTTGTATGAAATTGATCACATAAACATGTGCCAATAGTCAGTTAAGTGAAAATTTTAAAATAATATTGTTTTTTTTTAAGACTTTTATATTAATTAGGATTAATATTCAGTAGAAGAATACAAAGTGATTTGGAAGTTTTCTTGTTCATATCAAGTCTATAACAGCCTCTGTATTTAGAATAATAATAATCTATATCATAGGAATCTGGTTCAGTTGTTGTAAAGTAGAAATTTTTAAAATATTTTGTTAAGTAAAAAAGTTATAAGTATATGATTTTGTAAAGATAGTAGACAAATATGGGTACATGTCATTTCACTGACAATCAATTTGCCAACATCCCATTTTACCGACAATCAATTCACTAACAAGTTTATTTCACCAACAACTATTCACCAACAGTCCATTTCATGACTAGGTTTTTTTAAAAGTTGCACTAACATTAACTCTAATTTAACTGACCCTAACGAAAATGATCAAAATTACTTTGTTGGTAAAATGACTGTTGGTGAAATAACTGTCGGTGAAATAAACTTGTCAGTGAATTAACTGTCAGTGAAATAGGCTGTTGTTGAAGTGATTGTTGGCGAAATGAGCACCACCTGACAAATACAGGAGTTTTAGTATAAGGTATAGCTTAATATAGGTTTGTGTAATTTTATATAATAAGGTATTACAAAATTATAATTTATAATAAACTAGAATAGTAGATGTAACTAAATATTAGTCATCAATGTAGTATAGTATTAGTACAAAATACAATTTTGTATAAAATTAATTAGAACCAAATATAAGTAAAGTTTTATTTAAGGATATATTAGTAAATTTAGTGTAAATTTAATTAAATATAAATTAAGAAGTAATCTGATATTATATGAAAAACATATAAAGATGAGCAGACCAGAGTAGGGACAAAAAGCAAAAACTGAATTTTTATAAAAGAGTAAAAATTAAATTTGACTGTAATTTAATTAATATTTAGTCAAAAATCTTAACTTAAAGCTTGTTTTGACCAAAAAAGTGTATTCTATACTTTTATTTAAGAGTATAAAGTAGATTTTAACAGTAACTTTTGTGTAATAAGTAAAATTTTAAATTTTAAAGGCCAAAAGCTGTCAGTGCATTTTTCTCAATAGTTTAAATTCTAAAGACTTGAAACTTTTAGAATAAATATAAATTTAGTGATAAACAAGTTTACTTAAGAGTCAAAGACAAATTAACTTAGTAAAATAAATAATTATAAACATTTTTATACAAATAAATTTTTAGTTAAGATTTGTATAAAGGATTTGCTAAAAGAGTTGAGGCAATAATTATTATTTTTATTATATTTTTAATTATAAATTACTATAACTTGTACAAAAAAATATACAACTAGATATATATTTAACTTTTGACTAGCTATTTAATTAGTTCACTTACAGTTCTATACTAATTGTCATATTTATAATTTACTAAAAGATTACTTATTTAAATACTTTGATTTTTATATTATATTAAACAAATAATATCAGGCTTCTATATTATTTAAACTAAAATTTAGTTAAATTTCTATATATTTAATTGTATTGTCTAATTCAACATTTAGTTTCTTTTTAGTATATTTGTTATATTATTACCTATTTTATAATATTTTATTTGACTGAAAAACTTAAAATGCCTCTTTATTAATTAATCTATTTACTTTATAAATCATTAACAAAACTATAATTTTACAGAGTTTATCTAAATCCTAACATCTACTTTACAACATATTCTAGTTTTTAGTATATTTTTACTTTGTTTTTAGATTTCTAATTTAGATCACCAGAAGAACTATAACCTATTATTGGTATATTAAATCTAATCTAATATCTTTTTTTTTAAGTTTAAGCTAATAGGCTAATTAATGATATCTCTTATATAAAGTTTTTTATTTACACAATTTCTTTATATTGGTATCTGTTTTTTAGATTTAGCTTTACAGCAATACTATTAAAGATTCATATTATTTTTTTATTTAGATTTTTTCAAATAGATTTTAGTTTTTTCAGTTCTATAGATTTATACAAATATAAGCACTTATCTTAGATTGCACTATATAGTACTAGTTTGCATCTCTCTGTGTAACTAAAGTTACACAAGTGTACTATAACCTGTCAGGCATACTGATATAACTATAGTTAGAGATATTTATCTTAACTAATTAACAGAATGCTATTGCCATAATACAGATGTATTTTTTAAATTTCATCTTTGATGGGTTTTGAACATACAAGATACTATTTAAAGAGGTAACAACTTATCCACTTCACTAAGTCATTACACTCTAACAATATTTAATAAAATTATTTGTTTTTAATAATTTTTTATTTCAATTTTCACTTTAATAAAAATAACAAACTTTGAAATATTCTATAACAATAATCTATCTTTACAGCTTTCAAGTCACTAGTCAAAGAGACAAAAATATAATATTTAGTTATTTTATTTTTAGTTTAGTAATTGGTTACTAAAGATGCAAAATGTATACTGATTCATAATAACATTTTGCTAGCATTTTACTAAATAAATAACCATTTTACTCGAATTCAGTTAGCTGAATATCTATTTAGCCAGCAGAATTCTAGCAAAATGTCTATTCAACCAGCAGAATACTGTCATGAACCAGCATACATTCAGTATCTTTGAGAACCAATTAGCCAAACTGAAAATAAGATGACTATATGTGATCTTAGCTTTTTACCTAGTCATACTATTCTGGCAATTAATTTCTCTTCACTTTTTTTAATCAATACCAAAAATGCAAAAATTATAAGTTTAATCCTATTGTACAATATTAATAAAAAATGAATACAATGGTCTAGGTAAATTAGATGATTTTAATTTTTTTTATTAATATTCATTTATGTGATAATTAAAAGTATATTATACATAATTCATTTGAAAAAACAACGATTTCAAAATAAAACACTGGCCGATCAGCATTAAATAAAATGCCAAAACTTAAATTCAAATGACAGTGAGCATTAATCATTTAAAAATATATTAATTTTGAAGAATCTTAAAATTTATCTTTATTTTAACCATACAGAAGAAACCTCTATTAATTATACAAAATTCAAGATTTTATCTTAAATTTTGTAAAAATAGAAGACTGATATAATACAAAATATTAAAAATAATAATGTTAACAGTAATGTAAATCAGTTTATGAAAGGTAATATTAGTTATTTATTATTTTAATGCGGAAAATATTTTAAGTATCATATAGTAGTACAAATTGTGTGCTTATCCTCTGACCGTTATTTTACAGAAAACTATTTAGACAAAACAAGTTTGAGAAAATTAATTTATAGACTATTCTATGAACAGTTTATTTTACTGACGGCTCATTTCATATACAAGTTACTCATCTGGGAATTGATTCTCTGTAAAATAGACTTGTCCATAAATTGGTTGTCGGTGAAATAAGGTGTTTGTGAAGTAAATGGATCGTGGAGAAGAGAATACTTCATAAAGTAAAATAACTTTGAGAGGTATCATCACTTCTGATACATTATATTTTATAAAATAAATTAAAAAGCTTGTTAATAATATTAAATCTAATGAATGTTATTTTAAACTATACTTTTAGAATTATATATACTATAATATTAAGTTTTAAAACCAAATTTACTGCACGGGTCTTACATAACAATCGTGCTTTTTTCATTTGATTATGATTATTGTACGGGATTTTACTTCAGACACCGTGCATTAAGATAGTTATTATATGGGTATATTGAATAACTGGTTACATTCAGGCTCATATTTAAATCCCGTGGCCGAGGGCCACGGAATACGAACCCGAGTGTAACTAGGTTATTCACTACATATCCATACAATAACTATAACTTATGAGAAAGTATAATTCATCAATTATATAAATTATGAAAACTTCGAATATAATCTAATGGACATCCGTTTCTGGTTTTAGCGCAACTACGTTGCACAGCTATTTTATCATATAATTGTGCCTCAATAAATCAAATCATAATATATTACTTGCGGGTAACCCGAATCAGATTTTCTTTTTTTTTTTAAACGGGTTCAACACTTGTTAAAAATAAGCCATTCAATATCTTTTTACTATAAGTACTAATATATGATATAGTATACTTTGATTTTAGTACATTAGTATAATACATTCAAACAAAATACAAAATGTACGAAGCATTTACAATTCGCTTTGCATCACGCCACATAACCTAAAAACATTTAAGAATTCATGTGGATTTTTAGATATTCTATATTGAGGTACAATTGAATAATATAATTTTATAATATCTTTAACTAAATGATAAGAATGAAACAAAGAAATTTGACCAATTCGAGAATAAGCACTTCTTTGTACTTTAATTATTCCATATTGAGGTACAATTGGATAATCTATCATTCCTTGCAGTTCCTTATTCTATTAGCCTGCACAAGTATACTAACTTGGAAGTATGATGTAGAAATTTGGGAATAGAGTTCAACTTCGTAAAAAATTTCTAATGCATTTACATAAGTTAAAATATAATAAACAATAGAATAACTTATAGTAAATTTGATTGGAATAGGTTTTCGAATTAGAATTATTTAAAACTCACAAAATTTCTATCCTCAACGTTAAAACAAAAATCAAAAAATTCACTTGAAATTCACTTGAAAATTTATTACAATACACAATAGTATTTAGTGGTAAAAATGGTCACTCAAATTGATACTTATTTTTTAGATATAGACACTTTAATTAAATCTCAATTCGAAGATAACGTTCAAAATAATTCCCAAGTTGAACAAAAATTCAAAGAAGCAATAATATTAATTAATGAAATCGATGATGAGAATCAACATAAATCATATAAATACAAATATCATAAAACTTATCATAGTTATTTAACCGTAATCGGTGATGTAGAAGGTGCTAATAGACATGAAAAGTTAGCGAAGAATTGTGAAAAATATTTAAATACTCATGCTGAGGAAAGGCAACCCATATTGTATACTGATGATGTAGTATCCAATACCGTCAATCAAGATTGTTATCTTGAAAGAAAAATTTCGGAAGAATTAAAACAAATTCGTCCAATTTTAAAAGATGAATTGATTGAAATTGAAGTAGTGGATACACTTATTAAAGAGATAAGCCGAGTTTTTGAAAAGCTTAGTAATGTAGCTAAGACCTTTGAAGGTTATCAAGAAGCAATAGATTGTGAGATTTATATGAATAGGTTAGTAGATAGCTTAATTCATGAAAGGTTAATCGTTTTAAAAGCTAGTAGTAATAGTGAAAATGGACTTGCTGATAAGTCTTCAAAAGTTAAAAACATTAGTACAGAATTGATAGAACATTTGAGATGTTTAGAAGCATTTGCTCATGATGCAGCATATTCAAAAAGAACAGAAATTGTTTCGTTTTTATCGGATTCTTCAAATAAAATAGGAATACTATTCAGAAATGTTATAAATACAGAAGAAGAAATTAATAAACGCGCTAGAGTTCTTTGTTCATGGTTTCACCCAGATAAAACCAAAAATTCAAAAAGTCCATATGTTCTTCGAGACAAACATAAAAGTCAAGCCGATGAGTTATTTAAACTCGTCCTAGGCTTCAAGGAACATTTATTAAATAAGTTGAAAAAAACTTTAGAAATAGAGGACTATGAAAAATATGGACATGAACTTTGGAAAACTGCTATTGATTATAATCACGCATTTAGAGGAAGATGGAACAAATTAAAAATGTTAAAAGAAGATAATATCAAAGAGCTCTCTCAAGAGTCATTAGAACTTAATAGCAAAATTATGGGAGAATTGGCTTACCATCAATATCGAGCAGCGTGCAAAATTGCGGATAAAGCTAAACTACTAAAAATACAGGTAAAACTGAGAGGATATATGGCCTTGTGTTTATATTTCACAAACCAAAGTTTAGAAGCACCACTATACGCTTTAGCGGCAATCCTTTTACAAGTTAAAAATTCAAGTAATTTTACACAACAAGAATTGGATGATGCAAAAAATATACTTGATAAAGTTAATAGTAGGAAAGAAGAGAGAGAAAATAGTGAAGAAGGAGTGTCTTCTAACTCGACTACTGATATTAAATTAGAGAATGACCTTAATAATGCGATGGCTTTAATAAGAACATATGATAAAGAGATCTCTCTCAGTAATAAAGCATTTATTCAGAATTCGATCAATAAAAATTTAATTAATACGGCTACTAAATTACTTGTTAAGGCGGAACGTAGGTTGGTTTGTTTAGAAGCATCACTTAATGAGATTTCCAATACAAAGCAGCACGCAAAAGAGTATAAGGCTAAAGGAGTTGTAGTTACTGCAAGTGGAGGTGTAGTAGGATCAGCAGCATTCTTAAATGCCGGATTAAATTTTGCTCTGTGTGGACCGATTGGGTTATTTGCAGGAGCAACCTGTCTTGTTGTAGGGTTATGCTATGGTTATTATTTGTTTAAAAAAGGCGAAGAGATGTTTAAAGAGCCAAAGATTCGAGAAAATCTCAATAAGATCATAAATGAAGCGTTAAGTGCATATGATAAAGAAAAATATCAAAAGTTCATTGATATACTTTCTGAGGAATATGATGAAAACAAGCGCCTCTTAAATTTCCACGATAAAGTTGGGATTGTGGGTATTGATATAATCAATACCCTCAAGACACATGGTTTCCGGTCTGATGGTATAGCATATTTACTTGTTGTACTTGGGGAAGTTTTAGGTAGTGGAAAAATAAACATCGAAGGTGTCACACATGCAGTTTTGAAAGCTGATGCAAAAAAATTATTTCGAATGGCATTGGATGAAGAACTTGTGAAGGAGGCAGAGGAGCTAGATAAATGTACAAGTCAATTACGACAAACCAACTTAGGGAGCCTTGAGAGATATCTTAAAAGTACTTGTGGTAAAATCAAAGATTTTGTATTATCAGAAGAACGCACAAGATTGGCCCTAGAATACCTACAAGACTCTCAGGAAATGCCTTTTTTTTCAAGGTTAGAAGAAGTACGTAATATTGCAAAGATCAATATTGCAATTCTTAATATAATAGAATATGATGATGACGCATATAAAGAAGCAAAACAAACTGTTGAAGAAGTTCGTAAATCTGTAAAAGAAAATTATCAATTTATTATAAAATCTAAATTACGTCTAGAAGTCTTGGAGGATTTCTTGTGGGTAATTAATGGTGAAGATCTATCCGACAGTAATGGTGATCTATCTGAACCATCTAATACATCTTTATTAATCACATTTAACACTACAATGAAGACAGATCCGAAATTGGATGATAAATATATTAATTATTTGAATAACCAACGGTCTTTCAACCAAAATAAATATTATGAAGCAATTTACTTTGAATATTTGGCCAAAAAGGAGGCTAAAATTAACAAGTTAAATAGTTTACGTTATTGGCAATCTGCTCAAGAAAATTATGAGATTGCACGTGGAATAGATTCTAGTAATCTGCTTTATTCCCTTGGATATGCAAGATGTCTATTAAAATTGTCTAAATATACACAAGTTATCAAGCTTTCTGATACATGTCCAGCATTGAATTCATCATCAGAATATTGGCATTTTCGTAGTGTAGCTTATTTTAAGCAAAAAAAATATGAAGATGCTATTTCATGCAATTCTGAAGCACTAAAATTGGATCCTGGAAATAATTCTGCTGGTAAACATAGGGAACTTATCAAAAAATTGAATGTAAATAATGTAGTAAGAAACCGCATTAATCGCTATAAAAAAGAGTTGATATATGAAACAGATTATTTGAAAAATTCTTATTGTGATGAACGACCTGTCTACAATATTCTATCAATTGATGGTGGAGGAATACGCGGAGCATTGCCGGCCTTATGGCTCAGCGAGTTGGAATATCGTACTCGGAGACCCATTGCTCACTTATTTAATATGATAGCTGGAACATCGACTGGTGGAATCATTGCTGCTGGATTATCGGCGCCACAGTTCAAACCTATTTTTATGACAGATGAACGTATTGAATACCAACATTCAAATTTAATCCCAATATTTTCAGCTTCAGATTTATTGAACATTTACAGGAACGGATCCAAAAATTTATTCACTAAGTCAACATCATGGTTCAAGGTACCTATATGGTCAAAAGTACAAAATAAATATACAGATGAGGGTCGTTCTACTATTTTTAAACAATACTTTGAAGAAGTAAGAATATGCCATTCTCTTACTGAATTGGTTATTCCTGCTGCAAATGAAAACTACACACACTTATTTAATCGCTATGATGCTCGTAAAAATAGTAGGAATGCTATGATAAATAATACTTTTGTTGACATGTTAATGGCAACAACAGCTGCACCTACATTTTTTCCACCTTATAAAATCGGTAATAAGAATTTTATAGATGGAGGGATACATCTTAATAACCCAGCATCAACGGCTTATAGTGAGGCTATCCGATATAATGTGCCAGATGAAAGGATTTCTGTACTTTCTCTAGGTACAGGATGTTATTTACCAGATCCTTCAAATCCTGATCAATATAATTTACTTTTTTGGGCACAAAATCTTCCTCAATTCATGATATCTGCACAAGAAAGTAACACAGATCGTGAAATGTATACTAAATTAAAAAATCGGTATCAACGATGGCAAGTCTTTCTTGAGGAACCTATAGAATTAGATGATCATGAAGGTATTAATAATCTTTTAGAGTTGGGTTATCAACATATAGAAGAACTTGATTGTTCCGATGAAAATCCTATTAATAAGTTGGTAGAGTCTTTTGATAATCGCCCTATTTTTTAAATTTTCTAAAAATCTCGCCAATGTAATTGTAGCTTTTATTGAAACTATCACAAAACCGTTAAAAATATTCGTTTCTGGTTTTATTTTATAAAGATTTTGGCCAGCATTGTTAATAATTTTAGCATCCAGTTCGTAATAATTTTTTTTTATGGGTCTATTATGGAGTTCTTCTGTTATATATATATATATATATGTACGATGTAACATGATGTTTTTTATATAATAAAATTCGACTTATTTGAAAATTTTAGAACTTGCTCTCAAGACTGATGCTTAATCCGTATTATTTCACTAACAATCACTTCATTTTTCTCCGACAGATTGTTTTATAGACAATTTATTTCATTGATATCTCATTTCACTATATATGTTTTTTTTATAACCTTCATTTTAGCAAAAGCCTCTATTATAAAACTAGGAAGGTCTCAAGGCATTTAATGGCTGATTAAAGCCATGTCGTTACGGTTATCTAATAATTTAGCTGTTGAATGTGAATATGAATGCAATTTGAAAACATAATACAATTTTAAAGAGTAATATGGACTAAAATGATTAAATATGTAAAACTTTATTTAAAGATTTAATTTTATGCTATCTATAACTTCTAAATTTGCAATTGTACTAATTTATTTATTATATCATGTTATATACAAATACTGTAACCAATTAAAACTTTAGTTACTCTTCTTGTAAATAAATTATCATTTTGGCAAATTTATTAAAATCTTTTAAATAATTCATAATTTATACTAAAATGATAGCTTGGCGCGTAGTGGTAGTAGTGTAAGCGTAGTCGTTAGAGCGTAGACATACCTAAAAATTTAAAGACTGCTCGTTCAAGTAATAAAAATTATTCATTCGCTTCCATCTTAAAAGTACAAATATATAATTCCGTCATTAAATAAATAAATTAGTTCACCTTTCAATAAAATAAAATAAAGTATCTACTTATTTGAATTTTCCCTTGAGATTTTGACTCTTAAACTCGATTGCAATTTTAATAAACCCATTCGAGACTCAATTCAACGGACTGAATTTACTTGTAACTTCGATTCGGCTTGTTAAAGACCCTAGTAATAATGTAGTTAAAAATCAGGTGAAATTAAATATTGTCATTTTCGTTGCCTGTGGAAATCGTGGTAAAATTTCCCTGTAAATCTGTCAGGTGTTGAACTAAAGATATCACTGTCCATCGTCAGCTTTAATCCCATCACCCTTAAAAAAATATCACTATATCATCATCACCGTCCTTAAGAACATCACCCTTAACAGCATTACCCGTCATAGCATCATCTTAAACGCTGGTTTTTTATTTCGGGATGTGAGTTTGAGGCAAACTAATAGTTAATTTAGCAGAATGCAAATCATCATTTTTTGTCATTAAAAATCTTTGACTAAATTATTAGCTCGTTTCAAAATCGTGACAAATTCGGTACGAATTGTAGATTAACAACAGGAGGAAACGTATCCGATCCAAACTGTGAGGGATTATATTTATAACATTGGCGGTTAAATGACCCATCATTGTGAAGTGATTTTTTATGTGCTACACACCAGACGTGGGATTAAGTTGGATCGGGCACGTTCCTCCTGTTTAGATTAACTGATCATGTCATTATGTTTACAGCAGCCCGTTTTTATTTTATATTATAGTTTGCTGTAATCTTGTTTGACAAATTAAGAAGCTTGTAATTAACGTTATAAACCTTTTGTTTGACTTTTAACTAAAACATCATTTTATAGTTATTTCAAATGCGTATTATCAAGATAATATATTATTTGATATTTACTATTGAGACAAACGATCTTTTCTATCAAACCTAAAAAAAAGCGGACCTGCCCAATCCCTTGATGAATCGAAGGATTAACAGCCCTGGTTAGCAAAAAGGGATAATATATCACGAAGTATGAACATTTTACTTTTTTACTTAGGTTCTATATAAGGCATATAGTAAAATTCCGCCGATTTTTACTATGAAATTTTGGTCTTTTAACTGCGGACTACCCTTAAATTTGTTTGAGTTTGTAGTGTTTTTAGGATTTGGCAAGTGTAGATTAAAGTTTTGGTTTAATGATTATAAATCGTATAGTAAGCACAGATTTATTAGTAGTAAAGTTTTTTATGTGTATTTATTACAGATGCAGGCATTTGAAGATGTATGGTTACGTCCAATTGACGTGTTGTCACATCAAAAGAGTCATAACGTCGTAGGTCATAATATTTGACACTTGCCGTAACTTAGTTACAGCAATATAAGAAGTTAAGATGTTACAACACTACAAAAAAGTTACACTGTTATACAGTAGAAATATACAAAAATAATGATCATAATCATATAGTATGCTTATTACACTTAAAGTGTAGACTAAACTTATATATGTGTTACAATCATGTAGTGTCGAAAATATTATTGTACAGCGTGTCAAGCGTTACGACGAAACAGTAAATAAAAATATTACGGGGGATATTATAGCAAAGGCAGATGTTACGCCATATGTCAGATGTTACTATGTAAATAAGAAGTTAAATGTTATGACACAGATCAAATGTTACAGCGTACAGTACATCAGTACGGTCAAATTGATGTTAGAATCAGTTATTATTGTCTGCATCTATATTTTTTTTACTAATTTTAAGCTTTTTCGTACGAAGCTTATTTTTTAATAATAAGAATAAATACATTTTAATATATTATAAACAAAAATATTTACTCTTTATTAATCATAAGCGTTTAATAATAACACCATTTTTCAACCATTATTATTTTATACAAGTGATGCATCAGTGCCTTGAGTACATATTTTTAAGCAATACATCAACGCAACACATATCTATCTAACACCACAATAAAGTTTATAACTTTGTTTAAAAACTTACTGTAAACATCTTGTGCATTTTTTTTTAATTATTCGTTTCTTTACATTCAGTACGCAGTTACTTGCATAAGCAATGATATTGTAAAAATATCATTGGTTAATCGAAATTATTCGCAAGACAAAATTTATACACGAACTATATTCTGATATAATTAATAATTGAATATTTATTACTACTGTATAAAATCAAATTGGTATTAATAAACGTATTACTACGAAATCTATTAACTCAAATTCTAAAACTATCATCCCGATACAAAAAAATTCAAGATATTTTTAAAAAATACTATTACACCAATTTTAAAAAAAATATATTATACATAAAAAGCACAAAAAAAACAGATAAAAAAATATAACCTATTTATTTTAAAAGGCTATAAAAATCATATAAATAATTCTTTAATTGTAATAATAACAGCTAATTAATGCCAAACGAATTTAATCATATTCTAAATTAATGATATTAAACGTAACACTATATTTTAACCCTTATAAAGTTCGCAAGCTCATGTTTTCATTGCTTTACATCACTAATCTATTTACTGGCAGTACGTTTCTGTCTTTAGAAAAATAAATAAGTTATAAATAAAATATATTAGCGTTGTAAACCTCCCATTTAACTTATGAATTTTTGATCTGTAGATCCGAAGGCGTAGTTTCTATGTCGTAACCCCTGCGTATTCGTATTCGTGGTTGCGAAATCATTTTTGTGCACACTTGTGATAGCAAATCGTTGCAAATGATCTTCAAAAATCAGCCAATCATAATAAAGCCGCTTGCATATAAGTATCACAGTTTTGGAGTTATTTTACATTAGGGTTCTTAAAAAGTAAGAACCATTATATTCTCAGAAAATACTTTAGACTGTATAAATAAGTTATCTAGGCAATTGATTTATATAAATGACTTATGGGTGCTATAGTGTACAGGGTTTCCAACATCTAAACATTCCTAAATTAAATTCGATAAAAATTTTTTTATGTTCATTCTACTATAAAACTATATAATTAATCCAATTGATTTGTTTATTTTGTTCTAATATCACTATCATGCTAGAGGTACGTATGTTCGTACGCTGGACACTCTGTTGTGCTACCTATGCTGTATATCTTGCATGATTATATAACTACGTATAGTTGTATGATCCAAATTTAGAAACAATGAATTATTATATCATACTAGTAAGTTGTATAGGAATCGTGAATCGCACGAATCGAGAATTTTTTTCACATGTATAAACTATATACAATTGAGAGGTTGATATAATTGTTGTCGATCATTCCAAGTATATTAGAAGATAGCTATTAAACTCAAAGTGCCCATCTATATTCCATGATGAAGTCACGGGATAGACTATTCCATCAGATACACTACTTCAGATGCCTGTAAATCATACTCTACGCACTTTATACTCCGTTCCTGGTATACACTACGTACTTCGTACTCCGTTCCTGGTATAGACAAAAAGCCACATAGAGTATAAATATAGAGATCTCCCACACTCTTTAATATCGCACTGCTACTGTTTTTAACTTCGGGCATAAACCTAAATTTAACTATTGAAACAATTTAACCGACTATTCAACAACAGAAAGTTTAAGCTACCAGAAATTTTTACTAGAGTCTGTAACAAAAAACGGTCTCCAGTAAGATTTGTCATTGTTTCGTAAAGTACATAATGATGAAACAAGTACCCATTTTACTTTTATTGGTCTCTTTTTTTATTACAATTCATGTCAGTTCTGAATGTTGTAAACGAAGATATAATTTTGGTTGCTGCGGTAATGGCCCTTGCAACATTTTTTGTTGCAATTGTGATGGTGGATGTAATTCAAGATGTGAGGATTCTACATGTGATACCAAGCAATGGGCAAAGTGTCTTACAGCCGCCGGTGTCTGTGGAGCAGGTTGCATGGTAAATGGACCTGCATGTAGTGCATGTCTTGCATCCATAGGAGCTTCGTTTTGCAAGAAATGCTATTATCAGTTTCATGATGAATTATAGTTCAATCTTATATTTGTTCAATTCTTGTATATTATTTTCATCCCATGATTTAGTTGACTCAATTCTGATCATAAGTATAATAATGAATTAAATTTATGTCATCTAATATATAGTTTTTTTTAGCTTTTAATAACAACTGCAATGACAATTATTCTGGCTGCATATAATTTTTTTTGTTAATATAATGGAATGTAAAAATTATTTTGGTGCGAAATAAGCAGAAAAAAATCATTATATAAATGTAAAAGCCATAAATGAAAGGAATATATAACATTATAATTAATAAAATTCACTTTATATTAATGAGCTCTACGCACCAACCTAAATTAACATAATTTGAATCAAAATATTATTATAGATGATGTTCATAATTCTATATAGGATTTGCACCTGTACATATATTGTCCGAAGCACTATTCAAGAAAAATGTTTTTTAATGTGGTGGTAGTAAACCTCTCTAGTGGGACTTTATGTCCTGTAAGGTTATTTTCAAGACAAAGCTTCAATTACGCTATTGTGAATAGCATTATTTAATTACTAAAAATGATTGTAAAAAAAGGCTAAGTTACCTTTCTTGTCAAATCATTTTTTCAATATGCAAAGTTCATTTTCTCCAAATATGAGTATTGAATTGTATGACACATCTTTTTCGTTTGATCCTATTTTGGTTTTCTTATTTTATTATAATACATCCAGTATAATAAGTTTTTATAATATATATAGTGTAAATTTCTTCATTCATTTTTGACTTTTTAAAATGTTTCTGACAAATATTTTATGTACAGTCGCCTCACAAAGTTTAACACGGTTACACAAAAAACATAAGAAAAAACATAATACTATATTCATCAATTTTTATGAATTTAATTAATAATATGCAAAATAAATTAGTGAAGTTATTCATAATAATGGTTATAGTTGTGGATATTGATATTTAATATACATCGATATATGTTGTATAATCATTAGCCTTAATATTGTAATCTTATATTAATTTGCGCAATATATTAACATCATTGATTTCATAAATTTTTGTTATGGTTTTATTATTATGTAACCGTGTTAAACTTTGTGAGACGAATGTCATCTGGAAACTTATTTCTACATCAAATTTTATATTAAAAAACAGTTAATATATATTTAATCTTAAAATTCAATAGTATAATAATATTAAAAAAGATTTAATATTAAAACAATATTAAAATTTAATATAGTTATAATATAAAAAATTTGTAATCTTAATTTTATAATAAAATTTAATATTAATTTTATATTAATTTAAATATAATATTAATTTATTAATATAATTTAATATATAAATATTATTAAAATTAAATAATATTAATTTAATATTAATTTTTAATATTAAGTTTTTATTAATATATTTATATATAAATTTTATATTAAAATTTAATATAAATTTTATTTAAATAAAATATAATATTAATTTATTAATATAATTTAATATATAAATATTATAAAAATTAAATAATATTAATTTAATATTAATTTTTAATATTAAAGTTTTTATAATATAATTTATATATAAATATTATATTAAAATTTAATATAAATTTTATATTAAATAAAGTATAATATTAATTTATTAATATAAGTTAATATATAAATATTATAAAAGTTAAATAATAACAATTTAATATTAATTTTTTATATTAAACTTTTATTAATATAATTTAAATATAAATTTTATTCTAATTTTTAATATTAAAATAAATATTTATTTATTTTATTTTTTTTAAAAAAATTAAAGTGGGATTTTACTTTTATTTTTTGAATACTTTGTATTAGTTAAATATATAAAGCTGATATAGAATATTAGAAACAAATCTATATATAATAAAGTATATATTTATATTATTATTAAAATTGTTATTTAAAAAAGATATAAATAATTATTAAATTTAGTATATAGATTTTAATTCATTATTTTATTATTATTATTAAAAAATAGTATTAAATAATTTTTAAAATATACATATATAAAAAAATATTTTTTTAATTTTATTTCTTAATTTGTAAGTTTTTTTAAGCAAATTTGTCTAAAAAAATAATAAAAATATGTTTATAATTTACTTTTTTTAAATTTTAAAATATTTAAATAAAATTTTATTTGATAATATTTAAAAATAAAAATTATATTATAGCAGTATTTAATTTTATATTACAAGAAAAAAATATAAGCTAAAAATAAATAATTTTAAAAAATTTTTAATTAAAAAAATTATTTACAAAATTTTAACAAACTTTTTAAATATTAATTTTAAATTTATAGTTCTTAATACAATATTTTAATTATATAAAAGATAATGATTTTTATTAATAA